TAATACACACTGTCGTTGGTATCCAGAGATATTCTTCCAGGAGAGGAGGGTTATCATTTGTTTAAACGAGCGCGAAAGTAGGCCTCTTCGTTCGGAAGGAACGACGCGAGAGGATGGTCTGGGTTGTGGAGAGAGCGAAAGGAGAGACACGAATAATTCCTCGTGAAACCTGATACCATTTCTGTGGTTGGATAGTTCACTTGTGAAACTGTGATTAGATTTTTTTGTGTTTGTCTATTCATAACGACCACATGTACTTTTCGGGTATTACTGATCGTTTTGAAGGCTGTGTATTTTCTCGACGGAATCTTTAAGAAATTCGAAGCCTTTAGAAATACAAGGCAGTAGTATTCCGTTTGAACACCTGTGGATAAGATTTGGAAATCTGAAATATTTTATCTCTGTTTGAACTTGTGCTTCAAGGATTAGTACGGGTTCGTGTGTTTGAGCCCGGTCGAACGCTCGACTCGGATATTTTACGTTTAACATATGCACTCTTCGATAAATCTCGTTTAATGCAGGTTAATAAACGAGGCACTATTTCTGTATTTATTTCGAATGAAACTCGAACATTTATGCTACCTGAATAATGTTTTTTATTTGTTTCCAACAGTTTACAGCAATTTGACTGAAAGAAAGATTGGATAATTTTTCTGAATTCAAATTTTATTCCCTTATCGTGAACATAATGAAGTTATCTAGGTACACCGAATATTTTGATTTGATATTTTACACCATAGGTATTTTACTTATATAGTGGTATATGTATCGAATAAGTTTACTGTATGAGAAATACAAAAAGATTTCGTTTCATTAATGATAACTTCTCTGCGACATTTTTTCTTTGTATCGAATCGATCGACGCGCCACGAACAATCGAACGATGAACGATTCTGCCGCGCCGGTGGTGTGATTACCACGAGTTTCATTCGATTATAGTAACTCCGCCCGTAATTGCGAAGTAATTGCGAAAGAAGTGTCATTAAGTCTCCGAAGGGGAGGGGAAACGGTTTTTTCCCCTCGATGAATTACACGACGGCGGCGCACGCGTTGCTTTCCGTGGTCAGCCGCACGCACAACGGTCCAGAATAAAAATTCAGCAGCTCGAATAGTATCTACCAAACAAATTTCTTTTATTTTTCAAAAAAAACTTGCGTCGACTTATTCTCAAGTTCCTAATTTATTATCTGTAAACCATTTCGAAAAATTTACCCTTGAAAAACAAACGTTCCAAAGTTTAGTTATTTTCGTGTATTACAAACTTTGTATACATATTGAAAAATTTTCTTAATTCTTCATCAAGTTTTTAAAATTCATGACTTAAAATACGGACGATTCGCCCCAAAATGTTTGTTCTTTTCTTTTTTTCATAAATAGTGATATTATTTGATAAAACGCAGTTTACAAACGTGGATTAAAATAGAGAAAAATTCTACAAAAGAAAATAATGTCCACTGTTTAGCTTTGTTCTTAAAAATTCGTCCTTTAACGAAGATGTCGAGAAAGTGTTAGGTGACGTCGTGGAATAGGATCCATTAAGATTCAGAAATTTTTCTCGCTCACATATTTGTACGTAGATAAAATTATAATTTTTCAAATTTTTGACTTCTTGAGCAAAATGAGCTGGCAAATTTTGATTCTGGACCATTGTACAACAGTTCGCGCGTTTACAAAAACTGGCCGCCTTGAACCCTTTCCTCCGGGCTGCTCTCGTATCGACCATAGCCTCGCGCGATATTTCGCGAGATCGGAGCCGACTGATAAGCTCTACACGACTGTGAGCAAATTACAACAAAGGCACGGCTTGAAAATTTCCATTCGATCCACAGGGGGGAATCCCTCCTTGCTTGTTTAACTGCGCGCTCGCTTGAATAATAATATCTTCATTGATACATTTCATTTCGGATGAATTGTATCGAGTCAATAGAAAAGTCTCGATGGGTTTCTTTACGGATGATACGATTGTCCATGGTTTTGTAGAAATAACAAACAATTATGTTAATATATTACGTGTCAATGTAATATATGAGAGCAAGAAAATTTGAAAATGGAAAGAATAACATCGTAAAAAACTGAAAACCTTTTAATACGATTTAATTATAGAAATTCAATAAATAATAATGATAATCTAAAGATTTGTTTATTAGAACGAAAAATTCTGTTGGAAATATATATTTTCAAAACGAATTATTATGTATTTCATTTGATTATAATTAAAATTATCATTAGTCTATTTTTCTTTAGAGGAAAACCCATCGAAACTTTTGCACTGACCCAAGACTTTTTAATTATTAAACAACTAATCAAAGAGATTCAACCATCCCAGAATACCAAGGAACCAATAGGTTATTTACCATTTCATTTTTGCTCCGTCTAACAACTTTGCTATAACATAAATAGCAAACAGTCCCAGATTACTTTAAATAATACAGTTTATTATTGAAATTTGTAACACAGAACTCGCGTCACGTGGTTAAAGAAACCCGCCAGTCCCGCCGCGTCGTTGGCCGCAGTGAAAGGCGATTTCTTTTGTCGTCGGTAATGACGGTCGAGTTTCATTCGCGTCGACTGTAATTTTCTGTAACATTTCGCTGCATTAATTTTCCGATTTTCTAATAAGACTTTCATAACGAACGGACACTCGTCGAATCTCGCCAACGTAGACTTTCTCGTAACGTAAATCGTTGTTCGGATTTCGTAAATTACTATTACACTGCTTTACGAACTTTTTCTCGTGTGATAAATAATTCTTCGTTCGCTAGTCATTGTAAAATTTTTCATACAACGAGAACGTGTGAATTACATTTTTCAACGGAGAATCCAAAATTGTGATTCGATCGAATTTACGAACAATTTATAGATGGATATAAATGATCTGTTATAGTTAATACTAGTAGAAGTTGATGTCACGATTAATTTATAGTCGATGTAACGAACAAAGGAACCCCGTGAAACGCAAGGGAATTAGATTAAGCCCACCGTCGTCGATGCGCGGTGTATCGTGAATTTAGTTTTAATTAACGTGAATGTATCACCGTCATTAATCTCGCTTCATCCACCGTTTCACTTTTCTTTCTTTCGTTTTTTTTTTGTTCTACCTCGCGAACTGAAATCACCGTGGCGCTGCTCGAAAAGCATTTTGCAATAACGCCTTCGTTAACCATATTGTTATGGTTGCACGCAGAGTTTCTTTCTGCTATCTGATGAATTCCTCCTCCCTCTCTCGATATAACGAGGTAAATGAGTAATGAGCTCGCTTATGTAAGATCAAAAATGAACGGGCTCAAGACCTTGCATCGATCCGTGTGTTCACGTGTTTCAGACGTTAAAATTTACTATAATCATATCGATGATAAACGTAATCCAAACTATAATATTACCCTCAAGCAATGCCTTTACCAGCTCCGTTGCATCTTCGACAAAGTGGTGAACAGACTGTACAACATATAATAAAATCCACGTATGCACGTTATGTATATTACTGGATTAAATTGAAAGCAGTATATTAAACTCGTTTAAATTGGGTTATTATTATTTTTTCGAATGCGTTGTAACAACAAGGTTTCTTACATTAGTATTTGACGTCCAGAAACGTGTGTCTCGTATTCGTCGACGAAAGATTCAAGGACCAACCAGTAGTCCATATCTACTTCTGCTTGTTTTGTGATTACTTTCTTACGAAAGCGAAATATCGCCATTATGTAATAAAGAAAAAATTATATTTCTATTATCAGTAACCCCTTACACTCGACTAAAAAAAAATTACATGCACATTTGAAATGGTTCTCTGATAAAACAACACATTTAATTTTCACAAGAGAAATAGCAAAAATTAATCTTACGAATTTATCAGTCACTCGTATCGACAAATTCTGGCGACGCAAAAGGGTTGATGTGTGTATATGATTATAAACGTGTTGTCGTTCGTTGCACCATCGACCTTTGCTAATTCGATAAAAAGGAGGACAACGTTAACGAAGAAAACTGCGACAGTTCCAACGACGTTTATCAAAGAACAACCGTATATTTTAATAATCAGCCACGTCGGCCGCGATTACTCACGCTTACCGGCGTTTACATAATCACGACCGAAGCGTTCGCCGAGATTACTCACCTGACGGTGTGCTTGGAATGCCGCGGCGGTTCCTCTTAATAGAAGCTATTCGTCCGTCGTTGGCCCCGCAACCTGTTATTATTTGCAACAGTTTTCGTTGCATAATCGGCGAATGGACGCGCGCCGTAAATCTCGACTGTGTGTGTCACCTTTTATTCTGTTTCTGTTATGATGAGTCTACCGTGTCGTCCACTCGCTTCCAACAACGTTTCCTGTATTTTATTTTGTGAATTTCACGAGGAACTCGAAGTTTTTGAATTAACTCGAGACTATTCGAATATTTAAGTATTCGAATATGTTGTATAGTGATTAAGTATGTATTCAGAGATTCGTAGTATGCATTTTGATGGTATGATATGAATTATAAATCAAGTTGTTTAAGTTTAGTATTGTTTTCAAACTCTATTGTCATTTAAGACACTCCACAATATTTACCTCTTTTTAGTTTTAGCTTACAGTAGTGAAATGGACTAAGCTCGATTTATCATTCTTAGCTAATGATTCACAGTCAACATCATACTATTTGAATACATATGTACTTGATCACAATTCGAATACTCTGATATTCGATTACTTAAATATTCAAACAGTATCCGAATACTCTAATCTTCAAATACTTAAATATTCGAATAGTATTCGGATACTCTGATCTTCAAATACTTAAATATTCGAATAGTATTCGGATACTCTGAAATTCGAACACTATTCAAATTATATTCGTGAAGAATTGAACAACTGAAGTATTCGAATAGTCGAATACAGAAAAATTCGACAAGAAGTCCCAGCCCTACTTAAAACCCGTGATCGTCAGTGGGTTAGGAAGAAAAAAAATTTCAGAAATTTTGAACTTCCACTGAAACGTTTGTTGTCTCCGTCTCTGTTACAGCAAGAAGGCGGTCCAAGCGGACCAACGGGTATCCAGCAGTGCGCCGGTTGCGGCGGCCAAATAGTCGAAAGATGGCTCCTGTTCGCGATGGATCGGTATTGGCACAACGGTTGCCTGAAATGCTCGTATTGCGGCGCGGCGCTGGCGGAAATCGGCCACTCGTGCTACACCAGAAGCGGCATGATCCTCTGCAAAAACGACTACAGAAGGTAGGATTTCTCTGTCATTCCGATCGCAAAATGGTACTCGGCAATCGAGTGATTCCACAAGAAATCGTTAGCATACCGATTTTCGTAGACCACTTGAAAACCACCAATTAAAAATACGGTTTGACTTCAATTTTTTCAAAGCACGAAAATGCCATCCAAAGGAAATACACCGTGGAGAACTTTCAACAATTATTCTTTCAATCGATTCTCAGTTATTTAACATTTTCGCGGTTTCTAGGACGGTAATGGTGAGTACAAAATTAAAAGCTCCGTTGGATTCATAGATGTTGTACCTACGTGTACATAGGCGAAATTTATTCAGAATTAACGAACCTTTATTAGCGATAAATGGTTCCATTAGACACTTCCGGTGTGTTACTTATTATTAAGTCAAGGCACGCTGGCCTAGCGAGTATCGAGTATAATCAACATTCCGTGGACACACGGAGTAGCTACAATTTAGGGTGCTGTCGTTTAATACCGATTAAGCGTCGGTGAACAAATATTCTTTGCAATAGCTTCTTTAAACGTGTGGGAGGGCTTATATTAGCGTCTGAAATCGATTTCTTATCTTCGATCACTCGTAGCTCACGAATGATCGTTCATTCTAATTAAAGCGTCGTTAGTCACAAGTTAACAGGAAACTACAAATATATAAAGCAGTCAATTTCTCGTACAATATTAATATTTCTCACCAGGGGAGTATTAAAGGTTCCAAAGTCAACAGTGAAGCTCCAGATTGTTCGACAACGGAAAACAATCCAAAATTCTTAAAATTATCCATTGAAAATTTTTCCTGCTCGAACTACCGATTACATTTCGATTCATTCATGTTTCTCACGATGTTCAAAAAATCTCGTGTTCTCCATGTTGAACCCGCGTGGAGCTCATTATCCCAGGTGGCGAGCATCGTCGCTCTTCCCTGATGGCGGTACAAAACTTTTGAAATCTGCCGCGCGAGCGCACACGGCGGATATATACACCTAATCGCGGCGTGGGGACCACGTTCCAAATTTAGAAGATTCGAGGTCAAAGCGCAATTTAATGAGAAACAGACGCAGAACTTAGTTAGCCCGTTCTCTGAAAATAGATCGGCACAATCTGGCCGGGTCCGTGTGTGTGTGTATACGGAATCTAATGGGTCTGTCCATATTTCGTTTTTTTTTCTTCTTCTTCTTCATCGACCTGTTAACTCGCCGCGAAACCGACGGCTCCTTTTCGTCTCTGATTAAAACCGGGGAAATATACGAGGGGTCTCGGGGACGAGCACGACGAGACCGTTACCCCGAGACTTTTTCTTGAATCTGTTTATTTGTCGGTTAACGAAATGTGATTCGATTGATTTTTACGGTTGATCGTCGATCTTCCGGCCGTTTGTGTCATTATTGCCGCGAGAGAGATAGGTAATAAAGTGACGGGGGAGGGGATGGTAAAGGTAGAAAAAGTTGTGTCGATCTGTGTGACTTTTCATTTGAAGACGATCGAGTTTCGTTACGGTGAACCGGAAACGATTGCTAGCGATGCAAGGAATTAATTAATTTCGTCGACAATCAGGAAGAATATTCGTGGTGGTCGAAGCTTTACATTCATGTAATGAATTTTCTCTAGTTGGTGTGCATTGTTAGGTGGTGAAAATTGAAAGATATTGAAAAATGATCGAGAAGGAAATATGAATGTAGGAGAAGGATAAGGTGATTAGATGACTATCGTCTTCAATGGATATAATTGTTGATTTCTTATCTAATTGATATTCTTTTTTGTAACATCTCCGAATATAATGCTGTAACATTAATGACGTGGACGGCAGTTGATTAATATGCCAGCATAAATGTACCATTATACGGCTACATTAATCTTTCAAATGCATTCAGCGCTAGATCAACATTCCCAAAGTACGAGACTAATGACTAAGTGTACACACAGGCTTTAATGATTCTTGCCGGTCCGACCATATGGCGCTGAGTTATGAGTGGTAAGAATTATCGAAGTCTTGTGCAGCAGCTTGTTCATATGCACATCAACATAATCCGTTTAAGTGAATTGAACTAATTAAAAAAAATCGATTTTTTGCATTTCTCAGTCCCCAGAGCTGATAACAAATTACTTATATTCTATTCGGAAATCAAAGACATCAAATATTCCAAATTGAGATTAAACTATTTAATATACAATATGATTATGCCTACGTTATCCTCTACTTAATTATTTGTTGTACCCATAAGTGGACGATTATTTCTTCTATTTCTGAGACAATACATTTCAAATGCAAAGTACCTTCTCGATTTTACACTGAGTAAAAATGGTGTGCAGGGTCTTGGAAAATTATTATGAATATAAATTAAACAGTATAATTCTGATTTCGTCAAAAAATAAGTCGAGTATCTATACTGAAATTATATCTATAAGTCGAGTATCTATACTTAAAATATGTCACCTCGCAATTGAAAAAATAGTGAATCGCTTATTTGATATACGGAATATATCATATTCATAATTGACTGCGGATTTGTATGCAAAATAAAATTTTATAAAGTAACTCTTATGGGCAAGTACAAAAGTAGGAATTTCTTTCTTCTCTTAAGCATCTTATTGAGTTAAGAATAAAACAAAAAACTCGTTGCATCCGACGAAATTTTTGTCTTTTACTGTATTGTACAGAGCTCTGAAGTCTATAAATGCATAAAATCCGCAGTCTAATAATTAGACTGTGGACATTTTGTCTTGTAGTGACATATTTTTCCTGTTCGCCAGATCAACCGATTTTTCCTTCATCCAGTGACATAGTAACAAAGACACTGTACTCAAGACAGTACAAATTTTCCGAACAACTCAATATTATCACTATTTCGACGTTGTTATCCACATCTATACGAACGAGATAGAAAAATCGCGAATAATTTCGATTTCTCCGCGTATCAGGATGGTTATAAGATTTTCCCCAGACATTTGTATTCTTCGTCACCGTCCTACCTCTCTCTCTCTCTCTCTCTCTCCGTCTCTCGTCGGTTGCGATCGACGGACCTGGGTTCCCGCAGCACACGTACGCCCTAATCTGTTAGCACAGTCGAACGATTTAGTCTAGCGTAGTATCAATATTTGATTACGAGGCGTCTCCGTCCCGCATCCCGGAATTGGAGACAGGAATCGTCCATCCAGATGTCCACTGGTGGGGTAGGGGGTGGTGCCTCCTTCGTATTTCCAGAAATCGGACGTCATGATGGAGAATCGATCCCTGGGACACAACGCGACAAAAACGTCCGATTAATTGCGACCGATCTTCGTATCCCTGTACCTCGTGTTTTCGAAAAAACGGGGACCAGAGCCATGGGATTTCAAAGAATATTAGAATTGGGCAGAATTTTTTCTTTGGATAATATGCAGTGATAATCAGCAGTATCTAATAGTGAGATATGATACCTTCAAGGAAAAAAAGACATCGAATATTGAAGAATACAATTTTGTTGAATAGAGCCTGCTTGTCAATGTACCAAGGTAAGCCGTGCACTTAACTCGATGGATCTTGATTATATATTATTCTTTCTATTGAATTTACTACCTTATCAATGTGAGGTGAGAAAAATATTTAATAAGACGAAATATTTACTTTCAAAAGTTTTATTATATTGAAACAAGTTTCGTTTTAGTATTCTAAAATCTCAAATCCTGGGTTCCAAGACTTCTTTCCAAGACATTTCAGATTATAAGGTAATCCTTCCTTTTAAGTATTCAATACTCGCTGTAAATACACATTATCAAATTCGATTCTCTCAAACATTCGTTTAAACAAATTTTCATCGTTCATTTGAAATTTATTTTCTTCGTGAAATCATCACACCCTGCTCGATAAAATCCCACAATTTTCGGGACACCCTGTATACCGTGATGTTCCATTAGGCAAATCCTCCGATACAAAGTCTGCGTTACCTTAAAAATACACTCCAGCGAGGACAAACAAAATCAAGCGTACCCCGATGTGTATTCCGTTGTTCATCCACCGCACCACCCCCTATTCGTCTTCTTAAGACACCGTTAAACGGCCCGTGGGGGTGGGACCCTTTGACGGCGTGGCGTAAAATCGTGTCAGTCCCGGCCAAACGTTCGCGGGCCACGATCCGAGGTCGCGATTTTGCAGCCCGAAATTTCGATCGGGAAACAAGCCGCGCTATCCGAATCGCGGAGAAGTAGCACTCCGTGGCGGAGTGACGCGACAGAAGCATCTAGCTTTGCGAATAGGGGATGATGTGCCGTCTAGTGTGATGGATAAAACCGAGAAAGGACGAAAGAGATGGAAGTATATACGCACACATATGTGAGAAAAGAAAGAGACACGCGAATCAGGAACAAGAGAGACGACCGGTTAGACAGAGACTCTACGATCGAACGAGTGAATCAGAAAGAGAGAAAATGAGACCGTAGGCAAAACAGAGAAGCACGATCCCGGAGACACGGACGATGCTAACGAAAGAGAGAAGGGACTAGGGTACCACAAGGGAAAGGAAGAGAAACTCACATATACACACGTACGGGTAGGAAGAAAAGAGACAGTTAGATAGAGCGGAATAGGGGTAGGAGAGAGGAGGTAGTGGTTCGTTTCTTTTGGATTCAAGGAATGTTTCAATCAGTTTGATTGAAGGGCTGAGCCACGGCAAGAGGGTAAACTCGATTTACAGCCGTGTGCAGGGAGGGGTGGTACGGATGAGGGGTGTGGGTGGAAGGGGGTGTGGGGGGAGGGGGTGGCGAGGGTGGCGGGTGCCACAATCACCGAGATGCGTCCAATCACCCCCAGCCTCCAACGCCATCGGGTTTCGGGTGCACGGACGAGGGCTGAAGGGATTGAAGGTGTACGGGGAAGGGTGAAGGGGGGCTGGGGTTGCGGAGCGAAGAGAGCGGCCAATCATCGCTCGGCTTTCCGCTGGAGCGACGTCGTCGTGGTGCTGGTTTGGCCTAGATGTGCAATCAGACCGCTTCAGAGCTTCTCTGTCTCTCTCTGTCTTCTTGCT